GTTAAGTTTTAATTGTGAAAAAGCCCCCCCAAAAAATTCATAAAATTCAAAAGCAATCAAATTTGACGAAAGATTATAAAAAGTTTAAATTTTGATCCCCAGAAATTTGGATTCCCCTTCCGACTTCAAATTTTCCTCACAATTCCCAAACAATTTCATGATAATTTTACAAACATTAAATCGCGCACGAAAAATATTGTGTTAAAAAGCAATTTAATCCACCATAAATCTTGCACATTCCCTTTTTCAGTATTTTAACATTGCATTTAATTTCAGCACAAAAAAAAATTCTCAATTTTCCTTCTTCTTTTTCTACCTTCTTTTTATGCTTACTGACTTAGCATAAATCTCAATCATGACATGAACATTAAACAACAAAACAAGTCAGAGCAAAACAAAAATCTTTTATTTCTCTTAATGCCCCGCATAAATTGTCTACCCATCTACGGTAGAAAAATTAGATTTGCTTCTCATTTTAATTTGTTCCTTGTCTCCGTCATTCATTTTCATCCCTGCTCTGAATTTAAGAATGAAAGAAGTCAGAGACGAAAAATAGAAATCTTTTTTAATTTTTTTTTCACACAACAACAACAACAGCAGCATCATCAGCATCAACAACACAAACCATCTCATTTCCCTAATGATTTCCGAGCACATTTCTTGTGTGTATAAATGCTAATATAACTATATTTAATTATGTGTATAATATGAATACAGGCAATTTAAAGAAATTCTTTACATTCAAAAAAAAAAAGAACAACAGTTAAATGAGAAAAAATTATTTTTAGCAAGAAAATTTATTCATGCGTTCTCGTAGAAATTAATGATGATTTATGACATCGAGATTAGATTAGAATTGGAAATTTAGTTTTTGTATCGAAAAAAGGCAGCTTTGGTTTCGACAGATACATGAAATTGTTAATTAAATGTGAGTGAATAGAGCGCATTTTCTTGGGTCTTAATTAAGTTTGATTGTTTGTTGAATTTTTTATGATTTATGGATTGTAAGTTTTTTGAGGTTTGTTTGGGGATCTAAGATGAATTAATTCTTATAAGATACACAAAATGGGAATCAAAATTAGCTCCCAATAGTTTAAAAGCTGTCTGCAGGCGCATAGCCATTGGGGGACAAATCCACCTTCGTCTTGAGAAATTTCTTCATTTTGCTGGAGTTTTTATGAAAAACTCGAAAAATTATCCCCCCCCCCCCCTAAAAGTTTTCCATCCAAAAAAAAATTTGCCCCCCCCCCTTCTTTAAATTCCTGGAGACTATTGGGCATTTTTGGAGACTAAGTATCAAAATTTTTTTTTGATGAGTGCACAACTTCCTAGCTTTAAGTGTATGAAGCGTGTGAATGCAAATCTGCATTTAAGTAGCTCCATCAGCCATAGCAAAACGCCCAAAAATCTCCCATCACATTAATATCTAATTCCCAGTCATTTCTGCATTAACAAGCTCGATACAAAAATATTTTTTTCTCAGCTTTGCTACCTACAAACATTCTAGTGGCTAATCGAGCCACAAATGAGTAAATAAGCTGAATCTAGACACATAGCGCGATTGTGGTGCACAATAGAGAATGAAAAAAAAAGAAATAAAAGAATGAGAAGAGATAAATGGAAATTGAATTCTCATCGTGTGTCTATATACACAGCATACCTATGTGAGCACACGTTTTTGTTAGACGAGTGAAAATGAAGAACTCTTTTTTTTTCATTTCTATTTTTTTTTATTCGCTGATGGCTAGATTGTATAGATTGTTTTGAGAGTTCTTTCCATATTATTTTTTATTGACGCTAGATTTAGATGTGGATGAAGACTTTGATTGTATCTAAATTATTGTTTTATGATTGTCTTTATAAATTAGAAAAGAAAATTATTTTATAAAATTCTATATCGAGTCATATGAGAAATTAGAAAGATTTTTGAGTTTGGCGTGTGGGAAGTACAGGAAATTAGATGGGAACTTTTTTCTGCAGAATTTTGTTGGCAATTCTGATGGATTTTTGATAAAATAATTTTACGATCGATTTTGATTTTGAAAAGAAAATAATGAATTATTTAATTGGTTTATTGGAGTTGTTCTTGAAAGTTTAATCAATTTGAGTATCTAATGAGATATTCAACATGCTTGTTGTAGACATGAAAAGGTTCTGATTGGTGGAATTATGATTGAGTTTTCAAAATTCAAATATTTCAGCGCTATTCTGAGTAAATTTGAGTTTAAATTGAAGATTGTCTAAGTTTTGGGGGGGGGGGGGGGGGGGGTGTCCTCATCATTTATAATCAACTCAACGCCAAATCTTAAATCATTCATTTCTAGCCATATTCAAATCCAATTTGATTAATCAGCACTCTTTCCAACAATCCTAATCATCCATCCATACAATCTGCTCTAAATTGAACCATCCATTAAAGAAAAACTCTTGCATGTGTGTTTGTGTGTCTGGTTACCATAAAATAATTTTCTCATATGAGTTTATCGTCTCTCGACACACACGAAAAAAAATGCTTCAATTCCAATTGCCAACCATGCATTCTAATTTCAGATATAAATCTTTTAAAATTTTCCTCTTTTTCGTGTTTGCATTTTTCGATTTTTGGGCGAATGGAAAATTTTTTTGCTGCTGTTTTCAATAATTTTCTGCTTAGATTCTCACTTAAGTTTTTTATCTTGAAAATGACATGTGAAACAAAAAAGTGCTTGAGGATTGAGGATGATTTGTTGGAAAACCTTAATTCTGGTGAGCTTCTTAGTCAGAATTGAAGACACATTTGATGAAGTTTGAGGGTCAAAATTGGTTCAAAATTCGAAATGTTTTCAATTTGATCCCAGGTGTCAAAAATGCAATGCAATGCCTCAGTTCTAACCGAAAATCAATGGTTATGTTAATCAGCTGAGTTCGTACAGCCACAAAAAATTCAAGAAATTCACAATTTTCTGATAAAATAAGGATGAAACCTCAAACAGTCACCACCCCTTTCCTTAAGAATCTATTATGATATAAAATCTGGGTGGGAATCAAAAACAAAATGCACAGAAAAAAGCTGAGAATGAAAAAATAAAATTAAAATGTCACCAGAACTGATAGAAAATTGTAATTTATTATTGAAAAGATAAAAAAATTTGTCTAGATTGAGTGAGAAATTGGGTGAAAAATGACTTTAAATATTCATTTTAAAAGCAATATTGCATGATAAAGTGTCATCTATCATCTATCGTACCAAATAACTAACCCATTTTTTTCCTCATTCAGTTTTATATTGTCTCCATGCCTTTTGGGGTAGTTTTTGCTATCTTATAGCCTTTTTACACTCTCTACACTGTCGAGGATTGAATCAATATTTAGAGACAGTCTAATATTGTGTGACGAAAAATGGCATTTTTCTGTTGTCTGTCTGTCGATATCTCTCGAATGTTTGTAGACTTTTTATGTTATTTACAAACAGAGCGCACCATCGACTCTTTATTGGCTTGGTTTTTCTCTTCAATTCCTTTTTTTATGGCAAAAAGAATCAATTTTTTTCGGAACCTTTTTCATCTCATTCTACCCACTCGTATGTCCATACACACAAATTTTTTTTGTTGCAAGAAAACGAAGGATTTCCATCAATATTGATAAAATAAAAATAAACCTCAAACCCCCCTTAAAGTTTACGAGGCTTTCTTGTGGTCAGAAAAAATATTTCACATCAATTTTTGTTTCCTTACCACTTCACATCAAAAAAAAAAGTCGAAAGCTATTCCATGTTTAATATTATTTAATGTGTACACACAAAAAAGGGCATAGAAGTATAGAAAATAATATTATTACATGAAAATGAAATTTTTGCCGGTACACGTCGGAAAACTGCGAAGAAAAATTATCGATTTTTTGTTCAGTTTCTCTCTCCGTGCATTGCATTCGGTAAGTACGATGGAAACTTTTTATTTTATTTTTACGACTTTAATGATTATTACTAATTGGATCATTTGACGGTTAATGATGTTGATGATTTTTGAGGTTGACAGGATGAAAGGTACTTTATGGTGGAGAACTTGATGAAATAAGCTCTTTGGTATAAAGGTGGATAATGATATCATTTTCGAGTGGATAATTATCGTGTAATAAAATTGAAGTTTTGGATGTTGTGCAACGATTTGGGTTTAATTGGGGTAGTTGGTGCTAGAATGTCTTTGAATTCTGTCAAATGTATCAACGGATATGCAAGGGTCAGCTGACTAGCTTCTTTCGCGGTTAGGGATTGCCTACGACTAGATTTAGTCAAATGTAAATCGCATGAAACAATCCTTCAAATCTGGTCCTTTATAACCTCAACAAATCGAAATCATCATTCCCATAAAACAATCCCACTTCCTCCCCCACATCCAATAACAATTAAACTCAAATTTTCCATTTCAGTCGTTTTTAAAACAAATTTTCATTGTAAAAACGTAAATTATTTAACAGAACGTAATGAAAAATTGATTTCTCAAAAAAAAAAAATGAAAATTATTCAATCATTCAGTTATGAATGCAAAATGAAACATGAATGCTCGACATTTCACCCGCACATAAACAACATTTCAATTTTTTTCATAACTCATCATCACAATGAAAAATTGAATTGCAGAATGTTCAACCAAAAATATGTTTCATTAAATTATAATTTCATCACAGTGCCTGCCTGCGTACGGCAAAGTGGAATTGAAAATGAATAAAAAAATGTTTTGGAGTAGGAAATGGAACGTCGCATAGCTCACAGGTAGGAAGCAGTAATTATGGCATAGAGAATTTATGGTGAGGCAGCAAACGCGACAGGAGGAATTACTCGTATTTCACCGAGGAAAATAAGCATAATGGGAAAACAGTAGACCAAAAGAGCTTAACGGAACGAACGCAAAATAGAGAGGAAAAAAATATTTTTCATTCATTAAATAAACAGCAGAAATCTCTCCCGAAAAAGGGAAAGACGGCGATGAGAAAATAATATTGACAGGCAACAGCTAGCGACTTACCTTTACATTCGTTTGCATTCTGAACAGTTCCTCGTGCCCATGGCCTATCAAAATAGAACGGCTTGCACTTTTCACAGTCTCGTCCCGCAGTGTTGTGTTTACATTCACATTCCAATGCTCCATCAGCATTTTTAATACAACGCGATGCATGTCCATTGCATTTACATCGCCCACCAACGGAGAAGTCGGACAGTGCATAAGTGCCTGATCCAGAAGATAGAAATGAGTTCGGAGACAGTGTTGAGGCTTCCTTTGACGATGACAATGACGACGTAGACGACAAATATTCGCTCTTCATTTTCGCTTTCATTGATTGTGCTGCTAATGGACTCTGCAGGCGATGGAATATGACTCGTATATCGGTTGCAGTAACCCAATCTTGTAGTATTGCAGATGTATCGAAATCGACAGCCGATGGACGTCCCTCTAATGTACTAAATGCTATACGCGATCCCTGTATGCCACTCATACCATCGTTTGAAAATCGATTGTGATCCAAACAGCGTGCCTCCTGTTCATTACGTTTTGTAATTTGTTGCTTTGCCGGACGTCCATACAACTTTTTGCATTGACTACTGTAGAATTGAAACGGTTGCCATGTCTTTCCATAATCCGCACTCTTATATATAGCCATCGAGTCAGGTTTAATTGCATTCGGACAGAACAGTAGACTGACATATGTGAGCTCAAACTTTTTGCCAAATGATAATGTCAATGTGACATTGTCAGGTGTATTATCAAAACCAAAATTTGCAGATGATATCAATGGACGAGGCTCAGAACGCCAGCATGTTACATTCTGTAAATTATGTATATCTGACAGTGCTGATGCAGTATAGCTCTTTGACGGATCATTAACATCACATATGTTACACTTTCCATCAACCTCACAGAAAGTTTCAGGACTATTTGCACCGCATGTTGATGATGCTTCAATTTTTGAGCCAAAAGCAACATTCACAAAGTCTGGCATACAACGGCGTGGTCTATCCTCATCATAACATGGATCTACGGATAATGGCTGGGGTACAAAGCTCCTGAGAAATTTATTATTGTTATTATTATTATTGTTGTTGCTGTTGCTATATGAATATGTTGTTCTGGTGATTATTGTGAGCAATAAGCCACAAATTATTAAAATTCGATTCATCATGATGATTATAATTATGAATTTTATGAAAAAAAAATTATTGTTGATAAAAACACTATCACATTACATACGTATTATTTCACGGAAATTGGAATTGAATTTCAGTCGCCCGAAAAGATGAATGTGTTGCGCATTAAATTTAATTCTTTGGAGGATTATTAATAATTCATAAATTGCACACACACATCAGACAAACGAGGATGAATTTTGCTTATTTTTATGTCACTTCACTTGTCACGGTATTTCTTACACATACAAATTCTCTCGACTTGCTGTTTTTTTTTTGTATATTTTATGTTTTTCTGTGTCTGGGGACTGTTTGGATATGCCTTTATGTTGGGTAGATATGTAAAGTCCTTATCACATAAACACTCCGAGGCTCACTCAATATTTTAGTCTTTATTTTGGTGTTGTTGGTTTTATTTTTTTTTTTTTTTGGGATGGATTTTTTAATGCAGTTTAATTTTTGTGGATGTTTAAAGTTGGTGTTTGTTGAGATTTTTGGGTTGCTTAAAATGTTGAAATTTTTTTCTTGGATTTTTCGTTTTTTTTCGAACCTTTTTCAAAGTTTTAATCTACAAAAAAATTTTTTGGCAAGTTCTTAGCTTCCGAGTGCGATTTCTAGTTCCAAAAAATGAATTTCTGCTCAGTTTTCTCAAACTTTTCAACCTCAAAACACACACTTTGATCTAATTTGAACAATTACAAATTGAATTCACTTTCAAGTTTATTTATAGTCAAGTTGAGTTTCTTTCTCTTGTGACTTTTGCCTTCTAAATTTGAATTTTTCACACTCGAATGTTTTTTTTATTTGATGTTGATTAATTTTTTATTTTGATAAGAACGATTTAATTGACACCAAAATGAAAACACATAAATTTCTGTCACCAAAAATTAGGTTCACAAGATTACAAGTTTTTTTAAATGAATTTTCAAATTTTAAGGTTCTTGAACCTGGCAAATTTTATTAAATTTTTTGCAGTCTTTGATTTCTTGGAAAATTGATTTTTCCGATCCACTCATTTGATATTAAAAATAAATTAATTAATGAGCTGTTTTTTTCTGCCGTTGCGATAGAATAAATTTCACATTATCATTAAATTTAATGCTTATTACACTGCCTTGTGTGTTACACTGAATAAATTGATGCACATTTACCGTGAGAGATTATACATTAAGATTGAAGATGAAGGAAGGAAACAAAAAAAAATCGATATTTATGGGTACTTCATGAATTAGTGTATTGCTATGTAATTTAATTAACTCTTTTTTTTGAATTTTCACTTTTTTATTTGAATTTTATTTTTTTTAGAATTTTTAAATTTATCTCAATTTTTAAAAATATTTCTTTCACTTTACAAAATTCGCAAAATTCAATTAATTAATTCAAAATTAAAATTCACAATGATTATCATTAATAATCGATATTTATCAAATGAAAATAATGCGAGTAAAAATTAATGACACCTTCTCCGTCGCGTGATTTATGCAAACTGATTTCAAAGATTTCTTATTTTCTACACAGAGATGATGTTGCTCCTTCGCACCGACAAATATACTGAGCATGTGAGAGAACAAGCCGATTACTCTCACGAGAAAAATTCTCTCAAACAAAAATGCGTTTCATGTGACATGTTGCTCTAATGTTGCGCAACATTTTGTCATTTTTTATGAAATAAAAAAATTTTGAGGAGAGAAAAAAAAATTGATAAAAAATCGCAAGTAATTTTTCTCATTAAATTAATTTAAAGGGAAAAGAAGAGGCAAAGTAAAAAAGATTTCACACGATTCGCAAGATTTATTTAGCAATAAAAAATTCAACAACAGCAATACGAAGACGTCGCATTACATAAATCAAATTGAAAATAATGTAAAGAAAAGAAAAGAAAAACACGCGAATCATAAAAAAAATTCTTAAAACATTTTCTGTGCACATTCATAAAAGGAAAGAGATGCGACTTAAAAAAACGTTTTTTGAGCATTAATATTATTGTGCGACAATCTTGAGATTGTTTCGCGTAGCGGAACATTATTAAATGTACACGAAATGGAAGTTCTTTGAGATGAGAAAAATCCTTTTAAGAAGCACTGAAATTCACACGAAAATTCTCTTTGTCATTAAGATCAGCTCATCTCTGTCTGCTTTGGGATGTAAAAAAAATTTAAACTTTTTGTACCTTGATGCTTGTTTTGTGAGAATGGCAATGTTTATGTGGGAATTTATAAAAATGTTTACAGCTTGTTGCTATTGGTTTTTTTAAGATTAATAAAGATATTGAAATTCATGAGAAAATATTCAGACAGATTTTTTTTAAGTACTTTAAGATTTCTCACGTTTAAGCAAGGATGATTGGTGTTCTAGAATAGTTGAAGACTTAGAATTATTTTTATAAGCTTTTAATTTTGTTTTGAGATTCAAAAATGTCCAAGATGTTCAAATCTAGTAGAAAAGTTTTGGTTATTGGCATCTTGTGTTAAAGCTCAGTTTATCAACTTAAAATGGAATTTTGCGAACCTATTTCTGTGATAATCTAGATTTTGCGACTTAGGTTATTCTCTTCATGTCTTAAAATTGCTTGTGTCTGTTAAGTAGATGTCAATGATTTCATTTAGACCAAATTGCCGTTTATAGGACTATTGTTGTCCTTGATAATGACTTAAAAGCTGTTCCTAATCAATAACTGCGCTTCTATAATTTTCATCACATCTCTTTCAAACTTATTTTCATATAAAATGCAAATTTTCCTTGTAATAAATTTCATTTCAAGTAGCACATGGAAGTATATTCCATTCCTGTCACTGCCATCCTCTCGCATGTACATACATATTCATCTACCTTGCTTGTTGTTTAATATTTCATAATAATAAGTTTTAATGCCATGTCAACTATCATCATCACATTTTCGGCATATAAATAAATCAATCTAAAATACATTCAACATCATCATCGTCATACTGCAATATTTTATTATTTTATGTATACATGCATACACACTCGTCATACGCTTAATCACACAAATATTGTAAGAAGATGAATTTTTTTTTGCTCTCATATTTATGGCAAATGATGTCATGCTTGAAAGGATGATTTCAACACACAAAATTTACACATTTATTGCATTTACGCAAATCAAAACATCATTAATTTGAATTTGTCTCGGTGGAGCTTCTCTTTTCTTTCATACTGTACAATATGTACAGTTTGTGTAGATGCATTAATTTATTTTGCAGAAATTCATTGCACTGAATGACTGTCGAATGAAAATGTCGAGTTTTTCATTTCACTTTTAGAAAATTTAATTTTAGCTTTATTTCATGTTTGTTGTTTTTATTCTGTGGCATAGACACAATCTTTTTCTTCCTGAATTTAATACCTAAAGTAGACTTCCGGAATGTGCGGTGTGTAAAATTCAATTTCAACGCCAGTTTTTGCAAGAATTATAATTTTTAAAGGATTAGGAAAGTGTGGTTCAATTGAAACGACTAGTGCTAATATTAAGCATAAGATTTTGATCTATTTTTAGTGAAAAAAGGCGTAAGAAGGATGGCGGTGGGATAGAAACTTATAAGTTGATCCTAGCTTGAGGGCTGGATATACAAAGAGGGCAAATACGATCATAACCCAAATAATCATTGGCAATAATACAATCAAGGATTAAAAGGCCATCAAAAATCCACCAGATGTTCCATCAATTCATTCAATCAAAAAATTAAATACAATCAAATTTGATGTCTTTAATTCCATACCTCCAAAATAAGCCACAAAATAAAATTCCAAATAAACATTTTTAAATGGACTTTTGTTATGTGAAATAAATTTTACAACTTTTCTCCATTCATGGTAGCATTAACTGCCTTTGTACAATGCACATAAAGAAAAGAAATAAAAATCAAAGAATGAAAAACGGTAGCAACAAAATAAGTGAGAAGAAACAGTTCATTTCGAATATCTACCACATCCATAATAGAGTCATCAGTGATTTAGTAAAGCTGAGTTTTTAATTAAAAATCTATTGGAACTTCTACATATGTGTAGCTATTAATTGCGATAGAAAAAAAAAATCCATTCGCTACCTTATAATTTTATTTTACTTTATACAAATTTCTTTTCGTCCGATTTCACAACAATGATGTGAATAAAAAATTGGAGCATTTAACCATCGTAATCATATATCTTCATAGCTTGCAGGCATCGACGATGTGTGTGCTGCAAATGAAGAGAAGAATTCATTTTTTCTGCAAAAATCATAAATTTATGTTTAATTGTATGGTTGATGGTAAAATCATCCCGATACGTGTTAATATGATGATGAAAATTCATGTTTGTAATGAAAATAGTTCCTTGTGGTCGATTTTGTCAGAATTTGTGATAAAATGATTTTTAATTGAATTAAGGTCTGCAAAGGAGTCTAAAGCTAAACTTTTAATTTGCATGAATTTTGAACAACCTTTTTATGGAGCCAGTGCATTATTATATACCAAATTTGCATTCAAAAAATCACTTGAAGAATTTCAAGCGGCGATGCAAAACCTTTGCAATTCACACTTTAACATGCATTGACTAAAATCACAAAGGATTAACATAAGATCAGTTGCTATAGATAATTTAAATCCTATATAGCTCTTTTAGGGGTCTTTGATCCTTGTTGCGTTGCAAATTTAATGTCTACGACTAACTTGTTTCAGTGAGATGACCTTGTGAACAGAAAACTTGAAAATTGAATTTTTACGGATGTCGGAAGTAACGAAGGTCTGAGATTTTTAAAATGTAAATTTGAGTAATGTTCTTGAGTATCGTAAACGTTTGAAACTAAAGATTAATATAAGGATAGCCGGAGTTTACGTCACTAAACCTTCAAGAGACTCACTGATGCATATTCATTGTCTGCTAAGGATACCAGGAGATACTGGAGCCTTGCAAATCTTCCCACTAGTCGATATAAAACCTGACAAAATTCACCTAACAACTCAAACATATGCATGAGCAGCTTCATCAATCTTGA